GTGTGACTCGGCAGGGCCCATGAGTCAAAACAGGGTTTTTGAAAATAAGGGGAGAAAATCAAGGCCCGGAGCTGTGAGACCATTTAGCCACCTGCTTCCCTCATGAACTGCTTCAAGTGTCAGACTACCTGTTGTCGTCTGCGTGGGGATTATTTTGACCCCCGTCTTTGTGATTGTCAGCCCCGCCCTGGTTAGTTTCACCTGTTTCAGATTACAGATTTATTCATATAGCACATTTCAAACAGCAGCAGTTGAGCCAATCTGCTTTAAAATCACAGCAAAGGAAAGCAATACAAGTTTGGATTTAAAAAAAGGGTGAAGTAAAATGAAAGAAGTAATGAATGAACTAATGATAAACATTAGAGATTAAAAGGGTTGGACTTTAACTAGGTTTTAAAATGTATTGATAATGGGACAGGACCTAATGTGGAAGAGGAGACTGTTAAAGACAAAAAATACTAGATTATGTTAAAGGTTTTAAAAGACTTAAAAAGACTTAAAAACTCTAAAAACATTTAGAATCATTGAATGAAATAGTTTAAAAGACTGTTTTGAAGAGTTTTTGTAACCAGCTGCTGTTCATGCTCATGAGTTTGTTTTCCACTGCTTCAGTCTGAATTTTGGAAATTCACTGATAATATTAAAATATCTTCACTGCAGCTGCCAGTTTCAGGAATCATTGAACTGCAACGTAAAGATTATATATGAGTAAAAATTTGGTGAACAACCCACTGTGGGTTTTTTTTAAAATGTGGTTTTAAATCAGGAACAGCCTTCATGAAATTCACTGAATGAACAAAGAGAGGAATCACCCCAGTTCGGGAAAATATGAGTTGTATTTACTGAACTGTCCAAACTATTCATCATCCCTGGAAATAAATTAACACACACACATTGAGCAATGACTTGTAATTGTAACACTTCCTGTTGACAGTGTGCTGCACCTTTTGTCTGTAGCCATAATAAACGTTAGATGAAACTCTCCTGCAGACTGTGGTGTTGGTGCCACCTGTTGGGATACAACGCTAATAACAGGGAGCTGGTGACAGATGCATTACACTGGATTACAAGGGTAATTTACAGCGGAACATAATCGCCATGTTATTAATTAGCCAGTCTTGTGAGAGGCGTAGCTGTTGGTCACAAATTAATGATAAATGATGGACGATATCAAGCTCAGGTTTCAGAATAAAAACTGAAACATTTACAATGATGAGCTATAGAAGCTTTCATTAGCATTTTTATCTACTTCCACCTCCTCCTGACATAGTTTTAGGTTGACAGGGATTATGTGCTCAGAATAAAAACTGAAACACCTCTCATGTCACTACATACTAGACATGAGAGGTGTTTTGTTATTATTACAGTTTTAATGCCTGAAGTGTCAAGGCCGTAGGGCTTTGAAACCAGGAGATATGACAGAAGTATATATTATATGATAACAACGATACCAAAATGCATATCTTTGTGTACCTGAAACACAGATTGGGCACACGACACAGAGAGTATATTACGCTGGTGATGTCTTTAAGCAGTTTTGCAGGAAACAGAATATAAGCAGGAACTCCTGGGATGGAATAATTTAGCACCTGAGATTCTGTGCGTGAGTCAGTTATAGTTTGTAATATTATAGGCACATCTTTATTTAGGCTGCAGGCTGGTGCAGTGATAAACACTGCCACCGCACAGCAGAGACGTTTCTGGTTTGAATCCCTTTCTGTGTGGAGTTTGCATGTTCTCACTGTGTCTGCATGGGTTTCCTCTGGGAAACAACTATCGCCATGCATTAAAACCATGAATTTTGTGATCCAGACTTGTAGTGGTACTATTTTCAGTCAGATGTGACAGAACTGTAGCCACACACAATATCAAAATGTTCCAGAATAATATCAATAAAATAACATTTCCCTACAAAGAATGTTGCTGTAGGAATGCCATCAGGATTCCTCCGGAGGTGGTTTTCCTCAGATGTCAACCACAGTAACCTCAGACACTGAGGCCTCCATGAAGGCGACAGAGCTGAAAATGTTTTGTTGTGCTTGCATTGTGCTGCTCGTGCTGCTCTGCACCTTCCTGTGTCTCAAAGTCAGGAACTGTGGTGTGCAAATGCAAACGCGTCTAAACATATTCTGGTAAAGCAACTGTGGAATCAAGCATCGCTAACACAGAGCGGCATGATCTCTTCTGGTATGCGTGAGTTTCTTCATCTGGTTTTTAGTTTTCAGCTCCATTTTATAACCTGCAACATTTCCCACACTGATACAGAATAATGCTACATTTTATTCTTCATGTGGAAGATTTTTATTTTTTGTGCTGACACGGCAATCAGTGCAGCTACATGAGTTTTCAACCAGAGGCACAGAGGGAATCACTGTTGAGCCCCTCAGCCATTTCTGTCAGGGTGTTGAACAGCTCCTTCACACAGAATCACTGGGTAACACCAGCCTGGGGGTTGACGTCTGATCACTTTTCTGTCTCGGTCAACAGAGCAGCGTTTGTCTCTTTTTTTGACTGAACATCTCTTTTTCTCTCAGAGAATAAGTCAGTGTTTTCATGAGAGCTTTCGTTTTTAAAACTGGTTTGATCTTCTTTCATTGCTGCTTGTTTCAGTAGTTTGGCAAGAGGCAAACTAGATAAACACAAGAGATGTGTTTCACATAAACACTTCAGTGGTTTCTTCAGACACTTGACCCACACTGTTTTTTTTTTGTGGTGCAGGATGTAACAGAACTGTTTTCCTGTGTGCGGTAATGTCTGAAATCCTCGTTATTTTATGTGTTACAAGCCAAAGCATGATGATGGACAATATTGAACAAAGACGGGAAAAGCTTGTCTCCCCTCCAAAGTCAGAGGCCTTTCTACTGCTTCCTCCCTCATTTACTCACCTGCCAGGTTGATTTGAATAGAAATCAACTCAGTAGGGCAAGGGTGTGTGTGTGTGTGTGTGTGTGTGTGTGTGTGTGTGTGTGTGTGTTAGATGAACTTGGTGTGATGTGGTATTTCCTGCGTGGGGAGATAATAGGATTTGTGGTTTGACTACATGATCATGGTTTAAAGTGGAACAAACCCTAATGACTGAAATTCATGAACACATTCATTATTCATTAAAGGACGTCATGTGTGTTTGACTCAAACTACTTTTGTTGTTGTTTACTGCTTTTATAGCTTTTCGTGAGCCTATATGTATTTATTAATTTATTATCTGTATGTTGTGACAATTAGTTTTCTTAGAAATAATAGTTTTACAATGTGAGCGTACATATGAACTTAATTCAGTTAATCCTTCCCTCCATTATTCGGCTTTACCCTTTACACACCAAGGTTTACCATAATAAAAAATAGATGCGAAAACAAAAAATTTAATTTAAATTTAAAAATATGTTTAAAATATATGAAAAGTACACAATTATTACAAATGATGTGATAATCCTGCATTGGTAGAATGCAACTAAGTACATTTGGTTGAGTACTGTATTAAAATACAAGTCTGAAGTACTTTTATTTAATTGTTTTCTGCATTTGTGGGTAAAATAGGATTTGTTATACTCTACGCTTGTTTGCCAAGCTACTGTCTATCTGTAATTGGCTGAAACCTCTGGATCTAGAGTGGGCTTTTTAAGAAGAGGTTGAATTACAGCTACTTTAAAGGACTGTGGTACAAATCCTGATAATAAAGACAGAGTAATCATATCAAATAAAGAAACCAGCCACTAGGGATACTCTTTTGGATAGTTCTAGTGCCGGTCCCAAGCCCGGATAAATGGTGAAGGTTGCGTCAGGAAGGGCGAACATGTGGATCACAAATAGGAGGGGTAGTGGATATATTGGCAGATGATCCGCTGTGGCGACCCAGAAAGCCGAAAGATGAAGAAGCAGAGAGAATCATATCCAATAAAGAAGGGCTAACTAGAGGTAGAACATCCTTGAGCAGCCTGGTTGGGATGGGGTCTAAGAGACAGGTTGACGGCTTTGATGAAGAAGTTATTGAAATTAATATCAGGACTCTGTCGGCTGCTGTTATTACAGAGTTAAATGTCTTAAAAAGCTTTTTCGGGTTTATTTAGTGATTCATAAATGAATCCAGTTCCTGTGCAGCCACCAACTTTATAATTTATGACCTGGAGCTGAAGTAGAATAACAAAAGCTGATAACATTTTGATTTTTCCAGTGAAATTACACAAAGCCAGAGAAGGAAGAAGTGTTAAGAACCTTTTGACAGCAATAAACACTTAACTTTTTATCTTACGCTCATA